CTCCCTCCCTTCCTTTTCTCTTTTCCTTCCTTCCTTCCTTCCTTCCTCCTTCCCTCCCTCCCACCCCACTGGCAATAGCACACCCAGACCTCCCATTGCTCCCACTGGACTCTGACCCCCATCTGACCCCCAGCCATTTAGTTGCTGATATCTCTGCATTTGAAGATGTTAACAAACTAGATAATTACATTATACCGTTGTGGAGGTTACAAAAAAAGAGAAAGAGAGAGAGAGATTAAGAGAGGAAGACATGTAAACAGACAGCAGAGGTGCCCGCAAGCAAGTTTCAGACATTAAGATGGCACTGTGACTGCAGAAGTCAGACTCCACTTTCTTTTCATTGTGTTAACATGCACATCGAAAAAGACTTCACTCGCACAGTGGCTGGGGCATTCTGGGAGTTGAAGTCCACTCCCCTTTGTTGGAAGTTAAAACCCACCCTCTCTTAGGAAAATGAAATATTTCAGGATATACTAAAAAGGCAGAATATTTCCCCTAAAAGAGAAGTAGAAACTCAAGAGAGGCAGAAACTCACCCCCCCACTCCAACACACACACATTTGTTAATGGGCCACTAAGGCCTAGGCCAGACTCTTCTACATAACAAAGATCTACTCCAGGTAGAGCTATATAGGAATTGCCCAAAGCCCTTTTCATTACATCATCATCCAGCAAGGCTCAACCAAGCCTGGGATTCAGGCCCCATGGGAGTCTGACAACCAATCAGAATATAAGCTCAAATTCAAATCCCAACAGAGGGTATAAAACCCAGGGACTCTCAGCATCTCAGCCCTTCCTTCTTTGGAGCTCCAAGCCAGGTCGTCCTATCCACCATTAAACCATCTTCTCAAACATCCTCCATGTTTCCAGTGTCTTTTTCCCCACTTGGAACTGAACCCAGATGGACGTTTCTTCCAACACCTTAAAGTTTGCCAAGGTTGAGAAAAACTAACCTAGACAGGCAGATACAGTAATGGAGAAACAATTCCATAAACCTAACTTTTGCACTACGCTGCAAATATTCCAGATGACCATTAGGTGGCGGCAAAGAGTCAGGGACTCTCCATCTCTATGCCGCCCTCTGATGGTCCTCCAAAGGTTTGCAGCCCTGGGATTTCTGTCCAGGCAAAGAGCCCATCCAGAATCTCTTGGATAGTTTGTGAGACTGACTAGGGGTTCTGTCCAGATCCATCCTGCATCTTTGCAGGGTGCCATGCCACACCGATGCCATCATTAGGTGGGTATGGCTGGCATCATCCAGCTGAGCATCGAGAAGCATGTACGACTGCAGCCAACCAGATCGGAATGCCACTCGTCCCTCCAGCTGCCTCAAATTGCTACATTCCAAAATGAGAACCAGTTTGAGATAGTGGCAAAGGTGTCAATCTAAAAACCAGCAACCCTAACCCTAACCTTAACCCTTCCTACTAGGGATTTTTGATAAGCAAATTTCCAAAAAAGCTAAATACATAACAATACACATTTTAACAGCGGCCAGGTTAGCCTTCGCTCAACACTGGAAACAACATCAAACTCCATCAGAAGAAATGATTATTGAAAAAAATCTCAAAACGCGCAGAAATGGATAAATTGACTTTGGCGCTAAAACATAAAGACACTTCACTATACTACGATAGCTGGAATTGTTGGTATAATTGGATTGACCAAAGATAAATTATATATCATAAGGCATAATGAAAAGTATCAACCCATAATAACAAGGTAGCAATATAAGTAAAAAAAACAGGTGTGGTTATATGACACAAGTTAAGGTTATGAAAACAAAAGAAGATCTTGCAAACTGTTAAAATAAGAATACTTTTAACCTTGTAACCTCCTTCTTTCTTTCTTCCCCTTTTTCTTTTTCTTTCCTTTCTCAAAATTCTTTCCCTCTCTGCCTCCTCTCTTTTCTTTCTTTTTCTTTCTTTTGCACACTTGTGTATGTATGGTGACTGGTTTTAATTGTAAAAATTAATAAACTATATTTTTTAAAAAATAAAAAATAAAAACCAGCAGGCCATACGTTCTAGTCCCTGTTTAGGCACAAAGCCAACCGGGTGACCTTAGGCCAGGGCCTAATCCAGACAAGTGCCAGAAGATTATATGTAGTTCAGGGTTAAAATGTGGAGTCTCTATTTATATAGTAGATTGTCTTGTCAGTACTGGTGGGAATGTGATTTTTTTTTTCCTGGTAGTTCCTTGATTAGGGTATTGTTTTCTGCTAGATTGTTTGTCTGGTAGTAATCCCTGCTTATCTCAGGGTTGGTTGCTAGAAAGGATGCCTTGTTTCCTTCTTAGCCTTTTTTATTTATTGTCGCTTTGGAATGGTGTGTAAATATGGTTTATCTCTCTCTATCCATCGATGGCTAATTAGTGCCGAACTTCCAAGAATTTCCTAGCGGGTTGTTGGTTTTTTTTGTTTTTGTTTAATTAGCTTGTTCCAGGATGGTCACAGGTGAAACCATGGCTGAGTCTATCTAGGTATTGCGAGTTCAGGGAGGTTTCATTCTATCTACTGACTGGTAGTTGGGGTTCACGGCATGGGTGGGCTTCAAAAATTGTTTAGCAAAGGGTTCTCTGCCCGGTTGCTGGGAAGGTGTGGCCTAGTTGGCCTCCTGCACCATGGCGAGGAGGAGCATTTGTGCCCTCCCCGGGCTGTGGAGGCTCTCTGGAAGCCAGAAATGGGCCCATTTCTGGCCTTTCCCAACGTCTGGAAGGCCTGTTTTTTGCCCTCTCTGAGCCTCCATGCACACCTGAACTTACCTGCATCCAAAACTGGCCACGTGGGGACTCTTGGGAGGGGAGGGGAGGGGTGGGCAGGGCCAACCAGGAGTAGGATTTGGGGGTTCTCTGAATTGCTCAGAATCTTAGCTAGGGGGTCTCCAGAACCCCTGCGAACCCCCAGCAGCCCAACCCTGGTTCATGGATGAACTCTGGTGGTCTTCTACCTTTTTTGTCCTATACAATGACCGTTGCCATCCTTACACTGCCTGTTGTAGATAACTCCTGTTTTTTCATCTGGGGGTTGCTGGATTTTTTTTGTTGTACTTAAATTGTTTTGAAGGACTTTAGTTGGTTTGTGTGTTACGGTGATACCGTAGGGTTGTAATAATCTGTTAGTAGTTTGTGAGATGCTTTTGATGTATGATTTATTTATTTTTTTTGAATATTTTTTTTTATTTTTTAATAACAAGCATAAGCATACATAACAAAATTAACATAAACATAACACAAAAAACATAAAAATATCCTTCTTCATAAATTTACATACCGTGCATCGATTAGTTTACCACTTTTTTTTGTGCATCCATTTCCTAGTCACTAGTATAATTATATTACATAATAGCTCATATTATCAATCAATAATTGTATAACCTAATATCATCACTAAAAAAAAATCATTTATAATTTTGTTAATTCATATTTTAACGAGATAACTATAATTTGCTTAATTTATTTTACAATAAATCATAAGATCATACCAAATCTACCTTGATAATGTTTTATAAAGATAATATCAAGAAGAAAAAAAAATTTTTTAATGCTAAATCAAATATTCTATCATTATGTTTTATTATCTAACCATTGATAAAAAAGATCCCAAACTTCATAAAATTGTTTATCTTCTTGTTCTCTGATTTCAAATGTCAATTTACTCATTTCAGCACAATCCAATATTTTCATTTGATGTATGATTTATGTTGGTTGTCCTGTATTGGGTTGAGTGGTTAGGCTTTTCGATAAAGTTGCATGGATTTCCATTTTTTTTATATAGGTGATCCCTTTCCTTTCCTTTCCTTTTTATTTGGTTTGCTGCAATTTGTGTTTGACCACAACTAGGATCAGCAATTTGGTCATTAAGCGAAGCGGTCGCTAAGCAAAACCTTTGTCGTGCTTACAGTCTTGCTTCAGCTTTCCTTTTGCTTGACATACACGCAAGGACTGGTTGCGAGGTTACTTTTTGTTAGAGTTTGCAGCATAAATTCACGTCCAGAAAACGCACAGACTGATTCGCCAGGATTCTTAACTTCTTTATAAACATATTAAGATGAGTAAAGTTTACAATACCATTTGTAGATTCTTTCAACGTAACATAAGCAAAAACGCAAGCAGCAGCAGCTCCAAGCAGATGTCAGTCAGCAAGCAAGTAAGACTAGCTTCACTTGCAATTCTCAGCAAAGCACACAGAGCCAAACCACACCCAGGCTGTCATTTCCCATTGGCTGTGATTTGTTGTCATGCTTACTTTGTTAGCCATGTCTCTGTCAGTTAATGAATATACCCTGACACTTTTCCCTCGCAGTCATAACTGTGAACGGTCACTAAATGAGACAGTCGCTACGTGAGGACAACTCATACAGGCAAATCCTCCGAATCGAGTCGACCTGCAGATTTGAGAGCTAAATTCCTGGTTGCTGTTGTGGTATTGTGCTAGCTCTTCTCCAAATTGGAGGATTTCAACTTCTTCTCTTTCCTTCTAGCTGCATACTTCCAAGAAAGTCCTTCAAATTTGACCTCGTCTTTGGGGAAGGACGTGAAACTCACCTGCTCGGTCCTGGCCCTGGGTGAGGCACCGGAGATAAGCTGGCTGCGAGATGGCGAGGCCTTCGAATTTGCCGATAGTAACCAGTTCCAGATGCCTTTGGAAGAAGGAGAATGGCTGACCACCAGCGAACTGAGGTGAGCCTCCATTAAACCCTGCCAGTCAAGCTGTTTTACTTACAGGGGCTGCCCTAGAACAGTGGTGACCAACCTTTTTGGGTTCCTGTGCCAAAAATTGCCCAGAAGTCAATGCGCACAGGGCCCCCACACCCACTATGCATACGTGTACGATCCCCCCTTGCCGCACCCTTACCTGCACTGTGCCTCCCAGCTGTTGTTTGGCCCGTTTGAGGCCTTTTTCGGCCTCCCAGAGGCTTGAGGGAAGCCTCTGCAGCCTTTGCAGGCTGAAACGTGGGCCCATTTCATTACTTCCAGTATTTCCAGAACAGGAAGTGACGAAACGGGCACATTGTTCAGCCTCCAAAGGCTTGCAGAGGCTTCCCTCAAGCCTATGGGAGGCCGAAAAAGGCCTCAAACTGGCTGAAAATCAGCTGGGAGGCACGTGCATGCGCAGTGAGGTAAGTTTGCCTGAGGCTTGCGTGCCCGCACAAATAGCTCTGCGTGCCACCCAACCTCAAAGCTTTGCTTTTACATAATAGTATAAACTCGCCATTTCTATAACAAGAAATCTATCTCATCGGTAAAACGCCAATAGCGTCCAAGTGCAACGCTGTACAAGGAAATACCTGGCCAGGAATCTGCACGCATGCTATAGGTTTGCCATCCTGGCCCTAGAAGCTAAGCTGTAGTGCTTGAAATTGGTGTGTTTTGAACGCCGGGCGCGTGCGAAGGGCGCATCGTAGAATCGGTAGTAAAAAAAATTTGAATCCCATCACTGGATCCATTAATTCACTGGCATCTCTATGAAGCCCACACCTGTGCCTAATCCTGAAGGTGAGATGGCCAGCAAGGAGATTGTGTGGGCTGGTCAGCTGCCAGCAAGAGCAACCTTTGTTATTATTATGGTCGGTGCTATAATAAGATGTTTAGTCTGGAGTTGGCATTTTTATCCACCTGTGGAGTCCTTTCCAAGGACCGGAGATAAGGGGGTGTGGTTGTTTGGTAGTGTTAAAGGTTATTGTCTGAGGAGGTCAGCTGCTTTCAGTAAAGCAACCTTTTGCCATTTTTTTTCTCTCTCTCCCAAGTGTTATTTATTTATGCACTAGTATTATAAGGTGCAGAAATACAAAAGAAAATAGTAGGAAAGATAGGGGAAGCAAAAAGGAAGGGAAAAGAGAATAAAGGTGTTGAAATCCAACTTCCTTTGATGCAGGAGAGTAAAATAATAACCCCCAACCTCAAAGGTTTGCTTTTACATAATAGTATAAACTCGCCATTTCTATAACAAGAAATCTATCTCATCGGTAAAACGCCAATAGCGTCCAAGTGCAACGCTGTACAAGGAAATACCTGGCCAGGAATCTCTGTGAGTCATGAACTTAGATACACGAATCTTCCCACTAATTAAACGAACCGATTGTCTCCTGCAAACCCCACTCCCCGTTCATTCCTCTTGATTCCCTGTGGGAGGGGCCATTCATCGTCCACCTGTGCCTTTACTCCCAAGTCGGCCCTTGTTCTTTAGCTGTTCCCTTCTCCGGGCAGCTCTGCCCATACGCGCATCTGGAACAGGCTCCAGCTGTTCTTCTGCCCCACTGATCTCCAACTCCGAAGGCAGCTGATTACTGTCGGATGGCCCCGCCCCCCATCTCTGCCTCTGATGCAGAGTCCTAGTCAGAGCCTCCCCCAAAATCCAGGACTGGCCCAGATTCCTCCCCAACCTCCTCACTGTCCGAGTCTTCCACCAGCTCCGCTGGCTGCTGCTGCGCCATAACAGAAGCCCAAGACTGGAGATGGCCACTTTTGACCTGAATTAGAAGTGTCAGAGTCCTCTTAGCATGGGCAAAGTTCAGATGAAGCTTGGATGGGGGCCCCACTTCCACGTGAACAGGTTCTTCGCTTCCTTGTGGAAATGGGGAGGGCTGTGCGCCTGGCTGACTGGCTTGTGGGGTGGGGGTGTCTTGAAGTCTGCTAGCTGTTTTAAGATGACTCATGGGAAACGTTCGTTCCAGTTGCTCAACGGCGGAGAAACTAGGTGGAAGTCCAGCTGGCTGGTGCCTTCTGCCTCACGTGCCTTTATCCGGCTTTCTGGACCCACAGGCCAAGTCACGTGGGGAAGGGGACACTCACTAGAAGCCTGTAAGGGGCGTGTATTATGAGTGTGATTGTTCACCCGCGGCAAGGGAAGTTTGACCCTGTTTTCTCCCGCCTATCTCCTTGTGACATGATCCCTCTTGGGCTGAGAGACGAGGATTGGGTTCATTCAGCACCCTAAATCTTAATGGGGCTTGTTTGGTTTGCAAGGGCACATCCCGGGTGAAGCTAACTTATTCTGGTTTGTTCAGACGCCCCCATTTAGCGCAATGTGTGAGTTGACCCATCATAGCAGTGTTTTCCCCAGAGTTCCTTCATTACCCCAAACCTCTTATCAAAAGGATCTTTAAGTCAGCACATTTAGTTTAGTTTTTTTTAACTACTAAATCTTCTTTCTGACCCCATGAGGGATAGAAACTTGATTTTTAGACGAAAGCTAATAATTCACTCTCTGGGACATGCAAGCTGGGGAATTCTGGGAGTTGAAGGCCAGGCGTTTTCAACTTCAACATTGCCAAGGTTGTCTGTTCATTTTTATTGAGGAGGTGGACGGGATGCCTCCAGAAATCATGGCTGCTCCGTCACTGGAGGCTTTCCAGGAGAGATTAGACGGCCATTTTGTGGCAGAACAATATAGGGCCTCTTGCTTGAGCAAGGGGGTTAGACTAGAAGACCTCCAAGGTCCCTTCCAACTCTGTTATTCTGTTAAAAAAAAAAACCCCGAACGCCTTTAGATTCCAACGTTGCATTTTTAAAATTGACTTTGCCTGTTAAGTTATGTGGGATCAGTGAATCTGGGGTATTTCTTTTTTAAACTTAAGTTTCTTTTCCCTCATTTTCTTTTTCTTGCTTGGGGGTGGGGGTGGGGGATTGGGACTCGGTTGTGATAAACAGCCTGGGGAAAAAAAACGATTTTGCTGAACCAAACAAAAATTGTTTTAAGGAACTTGCCTGCAAGACAAACCCTCCAAACCAGCAGAATCGATTCTGCAGTTTTTTTCCCCTCTGCTGACCTTGCAAGAGGGAAGAGGAGGCAGGCAGGGAGTCAATCCGGGGAAGGAACCCAAAGAGGAAAGAATCCTGATTTTGAATGAGTAAAAAGTTCCTGACCTTTTCTTGATGATAAAACGCTAACCGCGAAAATAAAACCTTGAAAACTTGAAACCCCTCTAAAGTAGCTGAAAACTGCATTCTCTGAACCTTTAGTTTTGCTGCATCTGACTGCGATTCCGTTGTCTTTCATCGGCTTTGTCAAAGATTTTGCGCTGGCTGTGGAGAGGCAAGGGAGGTCAAAAAAGTCAAGATGGCCGCCACCATTAGGCAATCCAAATTTGTCCACTTTTTGCCAAATGCATCACTGCCGCTTTGTTTAAAGACCGGCTTCGTCCCTGCCTGTGGAATGTTAGACCCCCAGAACATTCCCCCTCACCCTTTGCTAAAATTATTATTTTTACGTCCCTCTGGGTCTGGTTCCAGGGTCTTGGAAACCCCTTTAAGTGTCTAGAAAAAGACAATCTCATTCCTTAGAGGCCTTGGGGTGGAGGCGCTTTGCTCCTGAGGCTTTGCAGATGCCAGAAGGATCCTTAATCAGCTAACAGATAGTCCTCAACTTACAACAATTCTTTATGGGATTTGAAGTTCACGTACGCTGGCTAGGGAATTCTGGGAGGTGAAGTCCATATATGCTATCTAGGGAATTCTGGGAGGTGAAGTTCTTATATCCTGGCTAGGGAATTCTGGGAGATGAAGTTCATATATGTTATCTAGGGAATTCTGGGAGATGAAGTCCATATATGCTGGCTAGGGAATTCTGGGAGGTGAAGTCCATATATGCTGGCTAGCGAATTCTGAAAGATGAAGTCCATATATTCTGGCTAGGGAATTCTGGGAGTTGAAGTCCATATATGCTGGCTAGGGAATTTTGGGAGTTGAAGT